AGAAGACATACAAACAGCCAACAGACTTATGAAAAGATGCCTAACTTTACTAGCTATTAGGGAAATGGAAATCAAAACCACAAGGAGACACCACCCCACACCTGTTGGAATGACTATTATCAACTGGACAAATAATAACAAGTGTTGGGGAGGTTATGGGGGCAAAGGAACTCTCATACACCACTGGTGGGAATGTAAATTAGTATAGCAACTATGGAAAACAGTATGGAGGTTCCTCAAAAATATAAGAATAGAATCACCATATGACCCAGCAATCCCTCTTCTAGATATTTACCCCCCCAAAAATTAAAAATATTTATCCATAAAGATATTTGCACCTTGATGTTCGTGGCAACATTATTAATGATAGCCAAGACATAGAAACAACCGAACTATTATCCTTCAATAGACAGTTAAATAAAGAATATGTAGTACATATATACAACGGAATATTACTCAGAAAATAAGAAAAGATGAATACTGATGTTTGCAACAATATGGATGGATCTTGAGATAATTACACCAAATGAAATAAGTCAGACAGAAAAAGTTGAGAACCATATGATTTCACTCATATGTGGGTATAAACTGAAAGCAACAAATGAATAAGGCAAACAAAAACTCATAGACACAGACAACAGTGTAGTGATTAGCACAGGGAAAGGGGGAAGTGGGGAATAGATAAGGTTAAAGGGGGTCAAATATATGGTGACAAAAGGAGATTTGACTTTGGGTCGTGAACACACAATGCAATATACAGATGATGTATTATTGTACACTTGAAACTGATATAATTTTATTATCCAATGTCTCCCCAATAAATTTAATTTTTTTTAAATCTCAAGGCACACCAAATAGCCAAAATAATCTTAAAAAGGAAGAACAAAACTGGAGGACTCACATTTCCTGATATCAAAACTTGCTACAAAGGTACAGTAATCAAGACATTTTGGTAGTGACATATAGACAGACATTTAGACCAATGGAATAGAATTGAGAGACCAGAAATAATGGTCAGATGATTATGACAAAGGTGCCAAGACCATTCAATAAGGAAAGGATGATCTTCTCCACAAATGGTGTTAGGGGAAACTGGATATTTAATTGCAACTACCTGTACACACTACCTCAAAAAAATGTGGTAGCAGAATTTTACAATATAGATATAAAAATGATTTAATATTGAATTGGCCTATCTAGGGAACAGGGAGCTAATGCCCTAAAGATCCAATTCCCCAACAACATGTAGGCTATAGATTATATAGGGTGACATCTCAAGACACCATGGCTATCATGCTAAGCAAAATAAGCCAGACAGAAAAAGTTGAAAAACATATGATATCACTATATGTGGGATATAAACCTAAAAGCAACAAATGAACAAGACAAACAAACAGAGACTCATGGACATGGACTATAGACGAGTGGTTACCAGAGGGGAGGGAGGAGAGGTAGGTAGACGGGGTAAAGGGGGTCAAATATGTAGTGACAGAAAGAAATTTAACTATGGGAGGTGATCACACAGTGTGTGTGTGTGTGTGTGTGTGTGTGTGGGG